TTTTTTTTTTTTTTGTTTTTGTTTTTGTTTTTAGGGACTGAATTCTTACCTAGAATTCCTATTTGAAACTATTGTTGAGCGTGGTCCCAGTGTTGGACTCAATGTGTCTCTGAGTCGCTATGACTTTTTCCATGGCCATCTTTTTCTTGCCAAGGATTCTGGAAGACTCGGCATTTTGTAAGTCGAGACATGAATGAGCATCCACTCGCTATTCTTTTTTTTGTGGCTTTCACGGTTAAAAAAAAAAAAAAACATGAAACTGGTGGTAATTAAAAGTGCATGAACATGGATTTTCCTTTCCTATATTTGTTTAATCTGAATTATGCATGAGCTCGTAAAAATGTTGCAGGTTTCATGCTAAAGAGTACCCTGCCTATGACAAAGAAAATTTTCCATACAATATGGGCTATTGTCAAGTGGGTAAGTTGATTGAAGAAACATCGTTGTAGAAGATTTAATCAACTCATTTTTGTCGGCCAATCAAGTGATGTGGCTTAAAATGCTGCTCATATTGAATTATCATAGGAACCAGATATGTAGAATTGAGATAAGAGTTTTGTGACTCTGTCACGGTTTAATTGCGCACTTGATGATTCTCAGGATCTAATGTTGCCTATGACAGTTCAATGAATTTAAGGAATATTCTCTGGCTTGCACCATTGCCAAGTAATTCCACGAAAGCATGGCTGGCTCCAGGTATTTGTTCTCATCTCGACCTTGCTATGAATATTGTATTTGAAGTTTATTTCTTGATTTAAATAGCATGCCCTGGCTTATTCCTCTGAATGAGGGGATTTTCTGTAGTACCTGCATTTTCGATATAAAATATTTTGATTTTATTTGGATTTTTTGGTTTGGTATGATTAATTTTAAAAAAAGTGGTATTGTTATTTGTTAGTGGATTATTTTAGTTTATATTAAAACAATATTTAAAATAAAATAATTAAAGTTGATTTGATGTAAAAGCAAGAGAGAGATTATGTTAAGTGATGGTTAGTTAAAATTATGTGAGTGGATGAATAGGGAATTAAAGTTGATCTAATGTGTAAAGTGATATTATTTTATTATATTGATAATATTGAGGATAGTGCGGTTGAGTTAAACTTGAGTTAGATTTGAGTTAAAAAAAAAAAAGCGATTGGTTAAAAATGATTGGAACTTTTTGAAAAAATTTGTATCCAAGCAACTACTCAACACTGCTCATGCGAACAATTTTTTTTATCTTAAGCCTGGAATGACTCATTATAAGATCTCCATGTTTATGGAAAACATTTTAAGGGGGTCAAACTTAGGTAAAGAAGGGCATCTGTTTTTCTTCTCCAAAATATCTAGTAGGATGTGAAAAAAGAAAATAAAAGAAAAGGATAACCTGAAGATGCTTGCAGAAGTTATAATGTTGAAGGGAAGAATTACAAGTGATTCTCTCATAAGCTTAAATCTTACTTTCTGTACTCTGTGCTATTGCCTGTTCTTTTTTCGAGAACCGCCTAAAGTTCCAACTAAAAAGAACTAAAACGACAAAAGAATTTTTCATTATCTCAATTGAAGTAACGAGCCCCCTGTATGGGGAGGCTCATTACTTCAACTAGTCCCCATGTTCCTCGAATGGATCTCTTAGTTGTTCAGAAGGTTGCCCAAAAGCGGTATATAAGGCGTAGAGTTAGTGCGTTTGTTGTTCCGCGTGTTCCGGGCGTTAGCCCTTCGTACGCACCTATTTCGTGAGATAGGAAGATGCTTATGCTAGAATCTTGAGTTCCTGAACAAAGACCTTCGTTTAAGTGCTATTTATGAAACTAAAATAAGTTCCCCTGGTTTCTCAAAATACCTTAACGTTGTTTTTTTCATTTGAGACGAATACTTTGTCAAAAGGGCAAATATACTTTTGAGTTTTCAATCTCATAGTTAATTATATTTAGCTTTCTTGAGATATTCTTGTTTGCAGGGGTACTTGTTGTCTTGGATGCGTCTCCTGAAGGAATAATTTACCAAGATCTCATACCTGAATACGTTAATTTTGCAAGGACACTATATGAAGGTTTTGACTTCCATACGTGTTACTGGAGTCTGAAAGCTATTATCTGTATCACCATTCCTGGACCAAAAAA